GGTGGCAACCACTTGATGTGTCCCTTTCACATCGATGTTTCTCTCTATCTCTCTTCCTCCCACTCTATCTGAACAAAAAATGGAAAAATGTCCTCGGGTGAGGGTTAAAAAAAACCAAACATATACATATACTATTTGGTCTTTTTTTATTTTATAAAGTTGAAGTGATGCTAAAATGTTTTGTATCCATTTTTAAATTGAAACTTTATTTTTTAGAGAGCAGTTTTAGTTCATAGCAAAATTGAGGGGAAGGTAGAGATTTCCCATAAACACCCTGCCCTCTCACAAGCATATCCTTCCTCATTATCAGCGTCTCTTACCAGAGCATTGCATTTGTTACAGTTGATGAACCTACAGTCACCCAAGTTCATGGTTTACATAGGTTTTCTCCTGTGTTATCTTCTCGGAGTTTTATAGTTTTGTGTTTTACAGCTAGAGTTGTACATTCTATGGATTTGGACAAATGTATAATGACATGTATCCATCATTATAGTATCTTACAGAGTATTTTCACTGCCCTAAAAATCCTATGTGCTCTGCCTATTCATCCTGCCTTTAACCCCTGACAACACTGATCTTTTTACTGTCTCCATAATTTTCCTTTTCTAGGATGTCATATAGTTGGAATTATATAGTATGTACCCTTTCAGACTGGCTTCTTTCACTTAGTAATAGGCATTAAGCTTCCTCTTTCAGTGGTTTGGAAGCTCATTTTTTTAGTGCTAATAATATTTCGTTGTCTGGATGTTCCACAGTTTACTTATCCATTTATTTACTAAAGGACATCTTGCTTGCTTCTAGGTTTTGGAAATTATGAATAAAACTGCCATAAATATCATGTGCAGGTTTTTGTTTTGTTTTTTAAATCCTTACCTGAGGACATTTTTGCATTTATCTTCAGATAGAGCAGGAGGGAGAGAGGGAGAAAGAGAGAGAGAGAGAGAGTCATTGATGTGAGAGAGACACATCTAGTGGTTGCCACCCACATGACCCAACCAGGGCCGGGGACAAGCTGCGACCAAGGTATGTGCCCTTATCGGGAACCAAACCTGGGACTCTCTGGTCCACAGGCCAGCGCTTTAACTGCTGAGCCAAACTGGCCAGGGCATGTGCAGGTTTTGTGTGGACATGTTTTCAACTCCTTGTTGAAAGGAGTGATAGTATGGTAAGTATATTTAATTTTGTAAGAAAGTGCCAAACTGCCTTCCAAAGTGGCTGTACTATTTATTTTACCTTCCCATTAGCAATGATTGAGAGTTCCTATTGCTCTACATCCTCACCAGCATTTGGTGTAGTCAGTGTTTAAGGTTTTGGCTATTCTAATAGGTGTGTAGTACTGTTTCATAGCTTTAATTTGTATTTTCTTTTATTTGATGATATATGATGGGGAGCATCTTTTCATATGTGTATTTGCCATCTGTATATCTTCTTGGTAAGATGTCTGTTAAGGTCTTTGGCCTACTTTTTATTTTATTTTATTATTATTTTTTTATCCTCACCTGAGGGCATTTTTGCATTTATCCTCAGAGAGAGTAGGAGGGAGGGGGGGAAGAGAGAGAGAGAAACATCGATGTGAGAGAGACACATCAAGTGGTCACCACCCACACGACCCTACCTGGGGCTGGGGACAAACTGCAACTGAGGCACGTGCCTTTAGCGGAAAGCGAACCCAGGACTCTCTGGTCCGCGGGTTGATGCTCTAACCATTGAGCCAAACTGGCCAGGGCTTTGGCCTACTTTTTAGTTGGGTTGTTTTTGTATTGTTGAGTTTTAAGAGTTCTTTGTATATTTTGGATAGCAGTCTTTTATCAGATACATCTTTTGCAGATGTTTTCTCCCTGTCTGTGGCATGTCTCCTCATTCTCTTGACATTGCCTTTCTGCAGAGCACATGTTTTTAATTTTAATTAAATGTAGCTTGTCAATGATTTCTTTTATGGATTGTGCCTTTGATGTTGTAGCTAAAAAGTCATCACTATGTTCAAGGTCATCTAGTTTTTCTCCTATGTTATCTTCTAGGAGTTTTGTATTTTGCAGTTAAATTTAGGATCTATTGTTAGTTTTTTTGAAGAGTGTAAAGTCTGTCTAGATTCTCCTTTTTTTTTCTTTTGCATGTGAATGTCCAGTTGTTTCAGAACCATTTGTTGAAAAGACTATCTGCTTTATTGTACAGCCTTTGCTCCTTTGTCAAAGATCAGCTGACTGTCTTCACGTGGGTCTACTTCTGGGCTCTTTATTCTGTTCTACTGGTCTATTATTTCACCAATACCACACTTTTTTTTTTCTTTCTAAGATTTTTAATTGATTTTTAGAGAGAGAGTAAAGGAGAGGGAGAGAGAGAGAGAACCATTGATGTGAGAGTAAAACATCGATAGGCAGCCTCCTGCATGCCCTCTACCAAGGATTGAACTCACAACCCAGGCACGTGACTTGACTGGGACGTGAACCAGCAACCTTTTGGTGAATGGGACAATGCCCAACAAACTGAGCCACACCTGCCAGGGAACCACACTGTCTTGATTACAGTAGCTCAGTGATTTTCAACCCATGTGCTGCAAGAATTTTTAAATCATGCAATACCTAGTCTATTTAGTCAGGGGCACTGACATCTTTTCCCTTAGATTATCAAATAAAAAAAATGACAACAGCCTACACAACATAACTGTCCAGTATGAATGAATAAAAATTATGCCTTTTTTTTTGACAGATTGGCAAAAAATATATTTTTTGGTGTGCTGCAGAATTTTAGTAATCAATTTATATGTGCCATGAGATAAAAAGGGTTGAAAATAACTGCTGTAGCTTTATAGTAAGTCTTGAAATCAGTCCTCTTTGTTCTTCTCTTTCCATATTGTGTTGGCTACTCTAGGTGATTTGCCTCCTCAGATAAACTTTAGAATCAGTTTGTTGATATCCACAAAATAATTTGCTGGGATTTCATTGTGATTGCATTGAGTCTGTAGATTAAATTGAGAAGAACTGACATCTTGACAATATTGAGTCTTCCTGTCCATGAACATAGAATATATCTCTCCATTTATTTAATTCTTTGATTTCATTCAGTATACAGTAGTTTTATAGTTTTCCTCATATAGGTCTTATACATATTTTGTTAGATTTATACTTAAGTATTTTATTTTTTGGGGTTGCAATGTAAATGGTATTGTATATTTTTAAATTAAATTTATTAGGGTGACATTGCTTAATATAATTATATAGGTTTTAAGTATATAATTCTATGATACCTCATCTGTATATTGCATTGTATGCCCACCACCCAAAGTCATATTTTCTTCTGTCACTGTATATTTGACCCCTTTTCCCCTGTACTATTCCCTCATCCCCCTTCCCTCTGGTAACCACCATACTGTTGTCTATGTCTATGAGTTTCAGTTTTATATCCGACATATGAGTGAAATCATATGGTTCTTAACTTTTTCTGTTTGACTTATTTTGCCTAGCATGATATTCTCAAAATCCATCTATGCTCTTAGAAATGGCAGTATTTTATCTTTATTATGGCTGCATAGTATTCGATTGTATATATGTACTATATCTTTCTTATCCAATCATCTATCAAAGGACACTTTGGTTGTTTCTATGTCTTGGCCACCCTGCATAATGCTACAGTGAATATAGGGGTGCAAATATCTTTATGAATAAATGTTTTCAAATTTTTCAGGGAGATATTCAGAAGAAGTGTTGCTAGGTCATATGGTGATTCTAGTCTTAATTTTTATATGAGCCTCCATACTGTTTTCCATAGTTACTGTGCCAGTTTATACTCCTACCAGCAATAAATGAGGGTTCATTTTTCTTCACAACCTCTACAACACTTGTTATTACTTGTCTTGTTGATTATTGCCATTCTAAAAGGTGTGAGTTGGTATGGTATTGTGCCTTTAATATTGAATTCCACTTGTTTGTAGATGGTAAAGGGGAAAGTGATTGACTTTTGTATATTAACCTTGTATCCTACAACTTGGTATAATCCTTTTTTGTAAGAATTTTTTATTTGCTATATCAAAAACATTTCTCATGTCATTAAACATTCTTTTAAAACGTGATCCCGCCCCCTTATTAATGGCTGTAGTATCATTCATATAAAATACTGAAAGCCTTTTTTGTGTTTGATACTGGCAATATAGTGATGAATGGAATATAAGACTTCATGTCCGATCCAGGCTTTATAGCTTAGGCCAAATAATAGAAAATTTTATTACAGTATGAAAAGTGCTAGGATAGTGCACACATAGGAAGGGCCTTTAAGAGTTTGGGTGGAGCCTGGCCAGTATGGCTCAGTGGATTGAGAATCATCCCATGGACTGAGAGGTCCCAGTTCGATTCCCGGTCATGGCACATGCCCAGGTTGTGGGCCCAGTACCCAGTGAGGGGCATGCAGGAGGTGGCTAATTGATATTCTCTCTCATCAATGTTTCTATATCTCCCTCTAAAATCAATAAAGAGCCCTAGCCTGTTTGGCTCAGTGGTTGGAGCATCGGCCTGCAGACCAGAGAGTCCCGGGTTTGGTTCCCACTAGGGGCACATACCAAAAAAGAAAAAGAAAAAAATCAATAAAACAATAAAATCAATCAATAAAAAAAAAGGTAAAAAAAAGTTAGGAAACCTAGTGTTAGTCTCTTGATTTATATATTTAAAAAATTCCACTGTGTTGAAAGGAAATAGGATAATAAAAATAAATTGAATTGTAAATTTGTCTTTTGAATTGCCAGGACTTCATTCATTCATTCAAAAATATTTGTTAGTTATTGTAATGTATCTAGCATAGTGGTTAATGCTGCTTATAGAATGCAGGAGGAAACAAGCATGATTGCTATCATGCAGTTTATGGATTAGTGGAATAGAAAAACAGCAACCTGCTTAATTTGTATGTGAAGAATTATGTTTCTTTTGATTTTGAAACTACTATTTAAATTCCATTTAAAGACTATATCATCATATCTAATTTATGGTATTGTCAAAATTGATATAATATGAGCCGTTGGTCCTGTGGCGAGATGTTTCAGAGCCTTGTTAAAAATGTTTGGGTCCCCATGAAGCCCTACTACACCCAGGTTTGCCAGAAGATCTGGGTAGGAATGGGGCTGATGAGCGTCATTATTTCCAAAATCAGGAGTGCTTATAAAAGAGCTACAGCAAAAGCTCCGCATCCTGCACCTGCCCACGGTCATCACTGATCAGCCGAACCTGCAGTGCACTGCAGTGGCCCGGCTGTAAATCTCAGCTCTGTTATATGGGAACGTGGGACACACTGTATATTGTAGAAGTACCGTTTCCTTGCTGGCATGAATAAATGTATCTGTAAGACAAAAAATATATATATATATATATGCTCAAGTTTACACCATTTAATTTAAATCTTAAATTCTTTTCCAAAGCCCTTTGTGATAGAAAATAAAATCTTATGAGCTATTGAATTTGTTTTTTAAAGCTACCTACAGGCTTATTCTCTCATATTTTAAAAGATAATATGGTTGTAGTAATGAGCTATTTTTATATTTGAAGGTGGTTCTAATCAGATTTATGGATGATTTTTGTTTTTGGTGTTTTTCAGAATAGTACTGCTGAATATGAGACGATCTGCAGCACCAAGTCAGTTGCTGGGGAAACTCTTCAAAAGACCAAAATTTATACCACCAACAAGTAATCTAAGTCCAAATGAAGAGATTACAAAGCTGAATCCAGATACACAATTATTTGAGGTAAAAATAAATAAATAAAGGAAGCATAATATAGAGAAGCATGTATTTATTTAAAAAATACCATCTAAAGAGTTAACAATACTTACTGCCTATGGGAATTTTCAGCATTTCTAACAAAGTCTTCCCAAAATCTTAGAAATAATTACAAACATTTTAAAAATAGGAATGACATGCATTTGGGTCCATACACAAAATTTTGGTAACAGTAAAAAATGCCTTTGTGAGGGAAGGGGTGGAGAGTCTTGTAAAAAAAATTATTCTGATTAGTGTTTTTCTTTTAGATACCATATAAATGAATGAAAACTTTAGATAAGGCAGTTTAAAGAGAAACATGTAAATAATGATTTATATCACTGTTGTGGACATTTCATTTTATTTATAAAAAGTAAATGCTTGCCTGGCCAGAGTGGTTCAGTTGGTTAAGCATCGTCCCATGCACCAGGAGTTTGCAGGTTCAATTCCTATTCAGGGCACATGTCTGGGGTTCAGGCTCGATCCCTGATAGGGAAAGTGCAGGAGGTAGCCAATTGATGTTTCTCTCTCACATTGATGTTTCTATCTCTCTCTCCCTCTCCCTTCTCTCTGAAATCAGTACAGACATATTAAAAAAAAAAGTAAATGCTTGAAGCAGTCTTAATATATGCTCTTTACTACTAAGAGAAAGGATTGTTTTGGTCTTAGGTATATAGAAAATATATAAAATGGGCAATCCACACTTCAGCTACTCTACAATTCTCTGATCCATTTATGTTTTAGAGATTAAAGTCTACTAATATTTTTTTCTTTTTTATTGCGAGTTATTATTAAAAAAAAATTCAAACATATTATGGTAGGCAGAAAAATGGCTTTCTAAAAATGTCGATGTCCTAATCCTTGGAACCTGTGCATAGTTACCTCACATGGCACAAGGATCTCTTTGTCTAAGTTAGGTGAAGAACCTTTTTTCTGCCAAGGGCCATTTGGATATTTATAACATTTATAGGTCATACAAAATTATCAACTTAAAAATTAACCTGCTGTGTTTGGTCAAACATTTAATTAACTCACCTCTAATGTGATTGCTGGAACTGCTTCTCTTTGGTGAGGTGTGTGGTATTAGCTGGTATTGATGATATTGCTACTTGCAACTGCTTTTCCAGGTTTGCATTGGTCAGTCTGGAGTGTAGTTGACTCTTTGTGATGGTAAGTTTTGAAAAGAACTGCTCACAGCAGTAAATTATTCTTAACACAGATGCATATTTCTTTACTTAAATTTTTTCCTTTATTGATTTTTAGGGAAAGAGGAAGGGAGAGGGAGAGGGAGATAGAAACATCTATGAAAGACAACGTCAATTGGCTACCTCCTGCATGCCTCCCACTGGGGATTTGGCCCACAACCTGGGCATGTGTCTTGACTGGGAATTGAACCTGTGACCTTTTGGTGCATATGTCAATGCTCAACCACTGAGCCACATAGGCGTGGGCCAGATGCATATTTCAGTGCATGTCTCCTCAAAGTGGGAAATTCATCATTGCTTATAAAATGTTTATAGAACTCAAGCAGTGGGAGGTGGTTGTAACTAATTTTCAGCTCATCATCACTTTGTAGCTGAATGATTTTGTGTTGTAGGTTATCAGGCACATCAACTGGTTCCACATTGAATGGTGTAGCAAAGATGTTCAGTTCTATTTGTTTACTTTTCACGTCCTTGAATCTTTCATTAAATGCCTCAATTAGTTTCGTACATTCACCAGCATACTCAAGTGTTGTATAAAGCTTTTGTCCTTCCAGAATGGGGAAATGCACCATGTTATTCTTTTTGAGTTACACTTTTCTTTTTTTTTTTTATCCTCACCTGAGGACATTTTTCCATTTTTTGTTCAGATAGAGTGGGAGGGAGGGAGGGAGGGAGAGAGATAGAGGGAAAGAGAGAGAGAGAGAGAAACATCGATGTGAAAGGGACACATTGAGTGGCTGCCACCCGCACAACCGACCAGGGCCGGGGACAAACTGCAACCGAGGTACGCGCCCTTAGCGGGAACCGAACCCAGGTCTCTCCAGACCGCAGGCCAACGCTCTAACCGCTGAGCCAAACCGGCCAGGGCTTGAGTTGCACTTTTCACAGCCTTAATTTAGCTTCAAATAATTTCATATTTAAAAGCAGGGAGCTGAGAAGCTGGTTGGGACCCTACAGCTTGATGTTCAGCTCTGAGAGGTACTTGGTAATGTCCACTAAGAACACTGAATTACACAGCCACTTGCTATCATTGAGTTCCCTGACAGGTTTTTCCTTCATCTCCATGAACCACGACTTCATTCCGCAGTTTGTAAAACCTCATGAGCATGTTCCTCTAACTCAGCCACTGCACTTCACAGTGATAAACAAGATCACCGTACTCAGAGTCAAGATCATTCAGTAACTCTTTAAACTGGCAGCTGTTAAACCCTCTGCTTTTGATAAAAATTTATGTATGGCAGTACTGTTGCCATCATATTGTTGAACCATAGTGACTGTGCACAGAGACTTTCTTGTTGTATGATGCAGTGGTACATAATTAAATCACTTGGCTCAAGACAGATGATTCAGTTCTTTCTTTTTTTTTCTCTTTATTGACTTTAGAGAGAGAAAAGGAGAGGTAGGGAGAGAGAGATAGAAACATTGATGAGAGAGAACATCAATTGGCCACTTCCTGCATGCTCCCCACTGAGGATTGGGCCCACAACCTAGGCATGTGCCCTGACTGGGAATCGAACTGGCATCCTCTTGGTGCATGAGTCGACGCTCAACTACTGAGCCACAAAGGCCGGGCAATTCAGTTCTTTCTTGACAAATGCAGTTAACCCTTTTTCCAGGCCAACCATGGTTGAAGCTCCATCTATAGTAAGGCCACTTAACTTTTCAAATGTTAGCTGAGGTTTTTTTCATTGATAAAACAAATATCTCAAACAAGTCCTCACCTCTTGTAGTGCCATGCATGGCTTCCAGTGACAGCAGTTCCTCTCGTGTGTCAAACACTGCAGTTATCCCACGAATGAAAACAGCCAGTTGGGTAATGTTTGTTATATCCTTTGTCTCGTCGGAACCCAGAGAGAAAAATTGGAAATCTTCTGCAGAATCTTTCAGTGTTTTTTCAATATCTTGTGCTAAATCAGTCATCCGATTTGAGATGGTTTTTTGAGACAAACTGACACTCTGGAACAGTTTTACTTTGTCTGCTGCTAACAGCTTTGCACTCTTTCACAAACTTTCCCTCTACATGACACCTCGGCTTCGTTTTGATTAGCTCCCTTACAACATAACTCATCTGAATAATGTTGTATCTGTCACAACAAGGTGTAGTGAAAGCAGCTTGTTGTGACTCCAAACTCTGATGAAGAGCATTGATTTTATCCAGACACATTTGGCCTCCCAGTTCATTGAGTTTAGCATGTTTTGAGCTGTAATGATGCTCCTGATTGGCTTTTTCATTACTGCTAACGCATTGCCATTAATTAGGCACACAAGTTTGCCTTTGTCTTCAACAAAAAATAATTATTTGTCCATTTCTCTTGGAAAGATTGAAACTCTGTATCAACTTTTCTTTTCCTTGTAGTCACCATTTGTAGGCTGTTACATCCCTTAAGTTTTAATAACTATCCAGTGTGTACATCACCAGTGACAGTATTACTTTGCTTTGATTGGTGTTCTAATCCTGCATCTTGGATTTAGAACATATCCAATGTTTGTATCATAGACTCTTGAGGTCTTTTATGTGTATTGTGATTTCCTTAATCTTCATCTGAGATTCAGTTTTTTGTGAAGATTGTTGATCGTGGATATGTGGATAAAGGTTGGACTATAGTTACGGTCTTTATCGACAAAGAACTTGACAGCATTGTTGTCAGTCATAGGAGATAGGTCATCAATGTCATGAGGAATCATCTCGTCTCATCATCACCAGATTGCTGTTTTTGCCACAGAGTGTTAACACTTTCGCACCGTGTACATTTCCAGCCTGCCTGGCACTGACTGTCTTCTGAGTCACTGAAATACAGGCAGATGGGCCTGGGGCAGCCAACAAGAAGCATATGTGTCTGTCCTGTCTTGTACTTATATTTGTTCTGTCTATCCTATAATGGACATTCCTTGCTTGTCCCTCCAAATGTACATTATTATTATTATGATTCACTTAATATAAATTTATGTTGCAATGAAAAATTTCCTAGATTTATTGACTTTTGAGTCCCACCTGTGGTTGCCTTTGGCAGGGCCAGACCAATGATAAGGCCTGTCGGCCAGACATTCCCCACCCCTGGACTAAGTGATTAATGTTAAGGACCTTTGGATGGAGTAGTTATCCTGGACTGTCTGCGTTGGCCCAATATAATCATCCTTAAAAGTCAAAGAGGAAGCCCTGGCCGTTAAGTGTGTGTAATTTCTTACAGCAGCAATAGAAAACATATATATATATATATATATATATATATATATATATATATATGGAGAGAAAGAGAG